GGCGTCCGGCTGTCCAGGCCCCGGGGCTGGGGGGGGAGGGGAGCACGGGAGGATGTTCCCCACCCCCAGAGGGGCCCAGGAGTCCGGCGCCCCCCCAGCCCCCCCCGCAGCCGCCGGGAGCCGCCGCAGTTTCCGCGTAGGAAACTCCGAGGCCTCACGGAGACCGGGGGAGGCGAAATCCCCGGCGGGGGCGGGGGGAGCGGGGCCGCACGTCACGGCAGGAGGGGCCCCGGCGTCCGGGAGCCCAACCTCCGCCAGGAGCCGCGCGCCTTCCCGCACGCGCCCGGGCGCCCCGTGGGCAGCGCTCGGACGCCTGGGCCCCTTCCCGGCTTTGGGGTTGGGGGGGTGGGGGGTGGGCAGGTCCCGGACGCCTGGGCCCCTTCCCGGTCCTCTCGCCGTCGGCTGCCTCCCCTTCGAGTTCTTGCGGTGGCGTCTGGTGTCCCTGGGGTCCCCTCCTTCCCCTCCCCGGTGCCCCTGGTCCCCCCGATGTCGCGCAGTGCCCCTGGTCCCCCCGGTGTCCCCCAATGTCCTGGTCACCCCAGTGTCCCTGGTCCCAGTGGCCCCTTGGTCCCCCGGTGTCCCCCGATGTCCCCCGGTTCCCCAAAGTCTCGCAGTGTCCCTGGTCTTGCTGCTGTCCCTGGATGTCCCCCCAGTTCTCCTGGTGTCCCCCCAATGTCCCCGGTCCCCACAGTGCCCCTCAGTCCCCTGATGTCTCACAGTCCCCCGGGTCACCCCGATGTCCCCCAATGTCCTGGTCCCCACAGTGTCCCCCAAAGCCCCTGACACCTCCCAATGTCCCCGGTCCCCAAAGTGTCCATCGGTCCCCTGATGTCTCCCAGTCCCCCTGGTGTCCCCTGATGTCCCCCTGGTGTTCCCAATGTCCCCGGTCCCCACGGTGTCCCTCAGTCCCCCGATGTCTCACAGTCCCTCTGGTCCCCCCAATGTCCCTCAACGTCCTGGTCCCCCCGGTGTCCCCGAACGCCCCCGACACCCCCCAATGTCCCCGGTCCCCCCATGCCTCTCAGTCCCCCGGTCCCTCCGGTGTCCCCCAACGTCCTGGTGTCCCCAGTGTCCCCGAATGCCCCCGACACCTCCCAACGTCCCTGGTCCCCACGATGCCCCTCGGTCCCCTGATATCTC